AGGCACGAGCGAGCTTGCGAGCAAGTGCTTAAATAAATGAGTGGATAAAAACGAGGTGCATACTATACTTTTTATACGACAAATACTTATTATCTTAAAATGATTTAAATCAAAAATTTGTACAGAGCCATCTATAAAACAATAGGGGAATCTGTGTGTCACCGTCAAATGTCAAATTTTTATATTTTATAAACACAGATTATAAAGGTTATAAATCGAAATGTATTTCTTGAAAATTGACAGTTTTTTACAATGATAGTAAAGAAAATGTTTTATTAGCACTTTACAGTGGAGTCCATGCCCGAATTTAAGTTATAGTTTACTACCAGCGAAATTAAAAGGTCAGTAAAATGTTCATATAAACTTTTCTAATATTGGAGTTAAGAAACTATTTAATACTTTTGTATTCTTGTATTGAGATAATAAAATAAATTTCACATTTAGTATTATTTTACAAGAAAGGCACTTTATTTTAACGATTGTATGACATTTGACAACTGTCAACTAACTTAAAACTAACTTCAGCCCGTGACTAAAAATCTGTTGCTAACTTCAGCCCGTTACTAAAGCGCCATAAAGCCACAACTTGTCAATGTGTATTTAAAAGGTCCCTTAGTTTCATGGAAACATGTACGATAAAGGGCGTTTTAAAGGTGGGAGTAGAAAAAATTATTTTGTTACAGTGTTGAAGTTAATTACGCTGTTGTTGATATTAGAAAGGACAATGTCTTTGTTGCGATGTTTTTTATAGACAGTTTCCGCAATTTTTCTTTATATCATTATTCGTTAATTTAAACAGCTGCTTTAAAATTTTAAGTTTCTTGGTAATTGATTGTTCAACATACTGTTCAGCAACTGCTGAAGATTTCCAGCCATTAATGCTGTTTGGTGCATCTGCCATTTCTGTAGTCAAGAATGTGAAAAGCTTTTCATACCTGTAAAATTCACATTTTATTAAATTAATAGCTGAGTAAAATATATTCGGTTATTGTTTCCACATTTTTTCTTTTCAGCCAAATTTGAAGTGCTTGGTATTCTTTTTTGTAGCGATCCTTGATTTTTTCTGGCAATAAATTTAAACTTAATGCGGCCGCTTCAGACCAAATCTTTTTTTTTATATATTCTTAAATGTTAATTACATATAACAAATTTTACAAATAAACGACTATTACCAATAGCTATCAAACCCTAGTTTTCTTGATAAAACTATTCGTTTTGGTAAATTTGAACATTCACATTGACACTGTCAAATTCCAACAAATTTACGGTTGTGTTTTTAGGTATTATGAAAAGTATAGAAGAACATATTATGCACATATACGGCATTTAATAAATATAGATTACAAAGAAAAATTATAATAAAACATTATACAAAACATATTAAATTACTTCATATTAAAACATAAAAAACTACACCAAGCACACATACATAAGAAGCATATTTTGCATGTGACAAAGTTCTGCAACTCAATTTTCCACCTGTAAGAAGCGCGAGCAAAATCCGCCGTTCAGTCGAGTGTAGCTGAATACAGCTGCACCTGCCGCTGGCGCTTCATGTATTACAAGTGCTTAAAATGATGGTTTCAAATACATTTTTAGATTATATTTTATATGAGGCCTGTCATAGCAAAACCGACAATCTCCACTTTTGGTCAAAAATTAGATTTTTGGCGGAGACTGTACAACAAATTATCTATAAGATGATAAAATGTATGTGCTGCAAAAGAAGCTAAATCCTGCCTAAAATCCTATTTTAAAAATGACATTTAGTGCAAAGTCGACAATCTCCACTGATAGATTTGCAGCAAAGTATATCTGCAATTCCACCATTAGAAATTAGTAATTTGTGTCACCTGATATCCTAACATTTGATGTTATAACGTATTTTAGAGATTTAATTTTGTGTTTTTTTACTGGTACATACTGTTAAGTTCTATTGCAGTAAATGTCACTTAAAAATATATTTAAAATAGGTATATATACGTTTTATTGTTTTAAGAATTTTAAAAAGTTATCTTGTTTATTTTGTGCTATTATACCATAATAAGACGTAAAGGTAAAGCAAGAAAAGGCTGATAATGTCAAAACATTGCAAGTAAAACATTACGGAGCAAAGTGGGAAGAAGATGATGAGTTGTTGTACTATAAAAACTTTTTTGCACGAGGCAACCTGGTCCCAGATTTACAAGAAACTACAGATTTATGTGGTCGGTAATCTCTAATTTATAATTATAGATTTCACCTATACTATGCATCCTGGAGACCTTGTAGTTGGCTACTAGACTAACAACAACAATATTTCAATATAATATATAAAAGAAATTACAAATTTAGAATTTAAAATACCAAAATCAATTATCTCAATTTAATCAGTTTTAGTCTGATGGGAGATTGTTGACTTTGCTTTGACAGCCTCATATAGTATAAAAAGCAAGGCTTGCTGATAGAGTGTTTAAAAAACTAGCAACACACTCGTGTCGGTGGTTATTGCGCCGCGACCGCTCCACCTAATCTGGGTAATTAAAAAGATGATTTTTTACATTTGTCATCTGTTATCTTTTACCTGTCATCTGTCAACTTCACATCTATCAAAGCGTCCTTGGTATGTTGTTGGCCCCCCTGTATATAATTTGCATAAAATCTAAATGGCTAAATGGACTTTAATTCAAAGATCTCCTTGATAAATGGTTTTATCGTATAATACCACTAGTGATAAAATTTTATTTTATTTTTTGCTTCTAAATTTTGAATTATCGCCACAAGCGAAATTGTCCAAATGCAAAAAACTTTAGTAATAAAAAAATTTCAGGGAAATTTTATAATTATGTGGTATTCGGCCGACAAGACTTTTTTTCGAATATACACTTTTTACCTGCCAGCATTAAATCCTTTAATTTAAAGGATTATTGTACTATTTTTAGGTACCCTTTCTTTTACTGCCGATTCAATTTCAAGTTGATTTTCTTGCCAAATCATACATTTTTTTAAGTTTTTAATTCGAAATAAAAAACGTCAAAATTTACTTAATTATTTTTGATATTATAACCCTCAAAAAAAAGAATTTATATTAATACTAGTTTAAAAGTAAAATTACTATAAATCTAAATTCAGTTGAACCTAACCTAAAAATGATGTGACAAAATCTTAAAATAATATTAAATAAATATAATATAATAATAAAAATAAGGTCATTTTCAATTACAAGAATTATGGTTGAATTACAGTATAATTACAAACTACTTAACTACAGTCACATAAAAATACCGCCAAAATCTAGTTGTAGTTTCTTGTTCGGCACCCTTTGGTGACTAAAAAATATATTTACAAAAATCCTAGCTGCTCCTCTTTTCGAATTTTTTTGAAAATTCATGATTTTTTGTTAAATTTTTCTTTATCTTAAAGTCTACCTTTGACAGAGTACACATTTGTACACCGATTTTTATAATATTGGAGTATATTGTTAAGGAGATTTGAAGAATACTTTTTTATACTGTGCACATCATTTAATATATACAATGTTAGCCAAAAATAACTTCTTTTAATAAAGCAAAAGCGTAACTTCATGATTTTGGCATAACACGCAAAAAAGATATATCCCACCCATGTTTTTTATATAATTTTATGTTATCAGGCTACAAAATGGGATTCTTATTAAGACTTAATAAGAAAAATTAAAATAAAACATTTTTTGGAGATAAATCTTTTTTGTGCATTATGATTTTTACTATATAAAAAAGTGATTTTTGGCTAACCCTGTATAAATCTAATAATGTGCTCAGTATGAAAACAGTATTCACCAAGTCTCTTAACAATATACTCCAATATTATAAAAATCGGTGTACAAATGTGTACTCTGTCAAAGGTAAGATAAACAAAAATTAAAAAAAAAAATTTCAAAAAATTTTGAAAAGAGGAGCAGCTAGGATTTTGGTAAATATCATTTTAAAGTTAGATTTTGCGATAAACAAATAATTAAAAATTAATTTTTTAACAAATTTAAAAAAAGCAGTTAGAATTTTAGTAAATATCGTTTTTAAATCTCCAAAAAAATTTAACCAGTTTTCCAGTGTTCAAAATTGAAAACTACTAAAAAGCCTAAATTAAACATTTTAAATATTCTCTAAGCGTTATTTTATTAATTTTATTAAAAATCTATTTTTTTATAAAAGGTTAATAAGAATGCCATTTTCTAACCTGATAAAAGTAGAAATATCTAAAAAAATGGGGATAAATCTTTTTACGTGTTATTCCAAAATCATGAATTTACGCTTTTGCTTTATTAAAAATAACCGATTTTTGTCTCATATATCAAATGATGTGATCAGCATTAAAAAGTATTCTTTAAGTCTCCTCAATAATATACTCTAATTTTATAAAAATCGGTGTACAAATGTGTACTCCGTCAAAGGTAGACTTTGAAATAAAAATTTAAAAAACAAAAAAATCATGAATTTTTAAAAAAATTCGAAAAGAGGAACAGCTAGGATTTTGGTAAATATCATTTTTAAGTCACCAAAGGGTCCCGAACAAGAAACTGCAATCAGTTTTTGGCGGCATTTTTATGTGACTTAAACTTCGTTCAGGCACACCGTGTAAACTTAACATAAAATTACGTGGACCTGGATAAACATAAAATCTGGTTAATATTTTATTAATTTTAACAAATATTTTTTACTGTGTAAAAACCAATATTGATCTACTCCTATTGCATTATATTGGGGTTTTATGTATATAATATTAATCATTATAAACGGTTCGCCCAACAACAGGAATAATAAACTCATTTCTCTCGTATAATAAGGTACTATAATTTTTATTGGTAGAATCATGTTGAGTTATCTTCAACAGTAAAAATATCTCATTACTCATAACATCTCCCACCTGTAAGAAGAATTCACTCCGTCGAAGTAATTGCAACGAGCGAAGCTGAACGCAGCCGCTGCGGCGCCTCGTGTGCTTTTTGAAGCTTTTCGACGTCCGCGTTTCAGTTACGTCGCACAATCGCCCACGCGAGCAGTCACTGCTTGCAAAGAAAGTTTCGCGCTCGCGTGAAAAATAGGCAGCAGTTGGCTACTGAAAATTATATATACGCCACCAAAATTTAAAGTTTTTATTGATGGACTTTATAGATAATTTGTTGGTTAAGACAAGTTATTCTTTGGTGTTTTCGTTGATAGATATTTTCGCTTTTATTCAAAATCGTATTTTGTTTCATTTAGCATAAAAATATTTTTTTAAATAAATTTATATTGTGGAAAAAATATTTTCTAACAAAAGTCATATCCCGGTATATTTTGGTTTTGGCTTCTTTACGAAGATATATTTTTTTTTAATCCACGTACGCGTTATAAAAAGTTTAGTGTTAGTTCTGTGATTTGGTCGATGTGAAATGAAAATTACAATTGGATTTTTGCGTGTCGGATTGCTGCTTTGCGGGATTTTTGCCGGTAAGTTTTTTTTTGTTTATTCTAGTGATTAAATTTTTTAATACATTTCTTTATCAGAACTACATTGGAAATATTATTAGATTATTTTTAGAATGTAATAAATTTGTTAACAACTATACAGGTAATAGTAAATTTTTTTTGAAGTACGCTTATAAAGGGTAATTAATTGAGGGTATTAATCAAAATTAGAATTTTTTATATAATCTTTTCTATTTCCACCTTTAAAATGCACAGTATCGCATGTCACATGCTGAATTCAATTGTAGTTGTCATAAAATCTTTAAAAGAAACTAGAAAAAAAGTGAGGTTGGAACAGTCCGACCGATGTCATATTTTATTTATTTTGAAAATTATTTAATTTTTGTGCTTGTCGTGGTAAAAGTATAGTATGCAACTCATTTTATAAATATCTCTAGACACCGTTTTATTAAACACTCGCTCGCAAGCTTTGTTTATTTGGCACCATACACTTTGGAATTTAATTAAATGCAGTATTTATATTCTTAAATTCTTAAACCATCCATTGTTATTGTAATGTTATAAAGATTTATACATTTTTAACGCCTAAACATAATTTTATTTCTTTCATTGATTATACTTTGACAGATACATAACCTGAAAAGCCTTAAATGCCAAATTTTCAAAAGACTGCGTTCCTTACGTGGTCACGTGGTGGGACTTTGAGGTGTGGAGCATAGTACCTAAAATGACGTTTATCAGACTTGATACATAATATTATAATAAATTTATCTTTTAAATATCTTATCGCGTTTAATTTAATGTTGGTTTAATGTCTACTGTAGGTAATAATAATAATATTAATAATAATAATAAAAATAATATTAATCTTCGTAGTATAATTAGTAGATATATAATAAAAAACGCCATGTATCGGTTTGTAGTCTACTTAAAGGTCCTGAATAGTGTTCTTGTATACACTATATATTATACAGTGTGATCCATTTGTTTGAGAATCACCCCTGTAAAATCTTTATTTATCGTGCGATTTTCACCGGATTTGTTTTAAAGTGTAGATCTTGATAAACTTTATATTTTAAGCAACACACCATATTTTTACAAAATACAAGACGCAATACTGTGACAGTTTTTAATAGTAAACTTTTAAGAATTCATATTAGCTGGCTTTACCACCCCTCAAAACGACCTATACTAAATTTTATTGAAACATTTTAAGTAGGAACGATTTTGTAGCTAAATTAAAAATGCAGAATAATTAGGTACTATTAATAAAAATTTATTATGTCAAGTAATTTATAAAAAACATTAAAATAAAATTAAACTAATAAACTCAGTTTCAAAAGTCTTGCACTACTTTGTAATTTCATCTAGAAGTTAGCGCATTTAATGGTAACAAACTATTCTCTTTCTGTTGGGTAATTGACTGTTTTTATAACATAAAAAAGTTTGTTGATACTTACCCAATTAGAAGATAGGGGGGTAAAAAAATGCGAATTTTTTTTATTGACAGGTAAATATATTTGTACAAATAATCTAAGAACTTTTAACACTTTACTTTTTTAGTACCTTGTATTGCCATCCCTGCTCTGAAACAATGCATGAATACGTCTGGGCATTCCTCGTATAAGGTTATTTAGGTATTCTTAATAAATTTTATTTCATTCTCAACCGGCTAAAATAAGCTCTTAACACTCATTGGAGGGTTCAAACGATTACGAATCAATCTGGATAAAGTATCCCAAACATGTTCAATTCTTTCAATTTCACCCTCTCGCAGAAACTCTAGGATAGCTCTAGTTTGATGTAAACTTTAGACTATATACTAATGCAATGGATTTTTTTAGTTCCACTTCACTCTCTGTAGAAGTGATTAACCTTCATAGCACTGAATTCTCTATCGAAATCTAGTATGCAGTGGAGAATGCAGTGTTTTGGTTTGGTTAATCGGATTTGATAGAAACAATTTGTCTAGAAAGTAAAGGTGTAAATTTCAAGTAAAACTTTTATGAAAAGTTATTGACGCAATTAAATCCGGTGACTTTGCGGGCCATAAAGTGTCAACGAATCCGGAGATCAAACGATCGATGAACATTTTGTTTACAACAGCCATTAAAATAAAGGATCTGTGGGCGCTGGCACAATCTTGTTAAGTCCTATTCACATTATCAGACAGCCAACTATACGGATACGGAAATGACCCGACCACCGACCATTATCTTTGCCGGTAGGTAACTGTAACTAACGTTAACGTGGGCAACGAAAAATTGTTTTAATTTGTTAAAAAAATCTTGAAACAGAGTATGGTATTTTTTTTGCATAGGTGGAACACAATTTTTTAACTGATATCGATTGTCAATATAAATTTTTATTTTTCAGTACTCCACTCTGCAAATAACTTAAATTTGTTTTTATGCAACATATTTTGATTTATTTTTTGACATACTTTTAAATTTTAATTTTTTCGCAGTAAAAAACAATATCTTTTATTATTTCTTTGATTTTACAATATTTTTAAATTTTTTATTCTAAATAAAAATATATATTTAAATATTAATTTGTAGCTTTGCCTGGACTGAAATAAAACACTTAAATGCAACAATCGTGTTTGTATATTAAATTATTATATAAACTTTGACGTCAAATAAACATCAATTTTTATGTCAGTATTATGTCAGAATATCATATAATTTTACATCATATTGTAGTCACAAAGAATGTACGTAATGTACGTAAAATTCCGTTACCTATATATTACCAATTATTGATTTATTGGGAACCAGCCAAGTTTGGTGATGTTTACGTTCCCTTTAAAAGCTACCTTAACTGCATGATAATTTAAAGATCGATAATGCCAATATACAGTAAAAAAATTTCTGACATAATTCGTTTAGTTCAGTCAAATTACACAACATTCGCTTTGATGTGGTTAAAACATGACATATTACGTTTTGTAGAATTAACCTTTAAAAACCCAGATAATTATAATTAGTAAATATTGACAAAAATCTAGAAACATATTGATCAAATTTATTTAATGTTCAAAATATGCATTTCCTAAATATACCCTCATTAAAACTAGTGAGTTATACTTGGCATTTAATATATTTTTCCGAGATAGAAATTATGTTTAGCCAACTTTCTAACTTGATTATGGACTAACAACGGTTTAAAACCGATGTAAAAGTAGTTTTTTACTGTAAAGTAAAAAGGGTGTTTTTACTAGAAATTATTAATGCTTTATTGTCAAATACTAGTTCTCTGCCAGCGAAATAAAAACAAACGTACATAAACTTTTTAAAGATGGGTGTCAAGAAACTATTTAATAATTTTGTATTTTTGTATTATGATAATAAACAAATTTCCACATTTTGGTATTATTTCACACGAAGGGCACTTTGTTTTGACATTTGACAACTGTTAACTATCTTAAAGCTCCGTGACTAAAACGCCATAAAGTGACAGCTTGTCAATTTAAAAGATCACTTAGTGTCAAATTACTGCTTAGAATAACATTAGGTAGTACATTTGGGAACATCCTATATAAATAAAAACGAATAAATAATTGCGAACTTTAATAAAAAATGGACACAACCCAATCCCTTTTATCTCGTACCATCAGACACAAAAAACCTGCCCAAAAAAACGTAAAATTTATTGTTAACGTAAAATTAGCATTTTTTAACGCGCGACAAACGAATTTATTGCCTTTATTTTTATCTTTACTTGTTTAATTAATTTGGTTTTCCTTTGGCCAAGCCCGTAATTAAATTTTCAGCTCCGCTATGCAACACGAGAACCTGGGAAAAATAATACAAAAAATAATGAAGTTCTCTGTTTGCTTAGGTTTTCTATGAAGTCGTCAGGGCATTTGTTGAGCTCAAAGGAATTACTGATAAAAAAAATCTATTTTGTATACAAAATAGACCTACAAAATAAACCTATATATAGGTGTATTTTGTATGCAGGTCTATTTTGTATATAAAATAGGATTTCCTTATTAATTGGAAACCCATTTAATTTTTAAAATATAAATATTTTCAACTTAAATATATAAACTTTGTTGAGTAGCGCAAATACCCAGTTTGCAATGATAATTATAATAATTTAAGATTAACTAATATCATTCTTATATCATTCTTTAAATCTTCTTTCTCTTAAAAGTGGGTCTAGAATTGATCCATTTATATAATTTTTCAAAGACTTTTAATAAAGTTTTATAAAACCTGTTTTAATCCAAGAACATGCCACTGAAACAACATAAGGCCAAGATGAAAGAAATACTGCAGGAACTAAAATGAAAAATTGTAATGCGGTCACGATTTCGTTTTGATAACATCAGTAGACAGAGAAGAGTTTTTCCAAGTAATAATAGTTTATGGGTAAATAGTTTTGCTATAATATTAATGATCGATATTAAAACAACGTTAAGAAATTAATAATGTTGATCGTTTAACTGTTTTAATATTAGTAAACACACCAATAAACTTTAGTTATAACTACATAATACATTTTAAATTTGGCTATGTGTTTAGAACAGAGTTTAGAAGAGTTTATTGTTGAAAATTATTTAATTTATAAAGCCGTTTATCAAACTTGATTTTTTATGTTAAAAAAAAATGCTCAAATATTCTAAATTAAATTTTTTTAAGCTTTTGGAAATTTAAAAAACACAATTTTTAATAAAAGGAGCATTTTTATATTATTTATATTATTTATTTGAATAAAGGATAATTTGCAAAAAATGCTGGACTCAATATTTTGTACAATTTACCAATTTTTTTCCGGAAATTTTAAAACAGTAATCGTGTAATGGGGTAGTTAAATTTTTTCTGACCTATACTTTTTATGGTTTTATTCAAGGCGTTTTGTAATATTAAACATTTCTGTGAAATCAGAATTTCAATTGAGTTTACCGTTTTCGAGATATTTACAAAAAATATAAATTTTTATGACGTCACAAACCCCGCCATGTGACCAACATTCTAAGATTTCTATTGGTTGAAAATTACCCTGTTGTCAAG